GGCTCAAGCTGCTAAACATACTGACATCTGACATCAGCCCCTAGGTATGTCCCTTTAGTGTGTGTGTGTGTGTGTATGTGTGTGTTTGTGTTTGTGTCCATACCTTTCTGACATTTCTTGTTTCTGTCTGTTGACAGGCAGGTAAAGAAAGAGCACACAGGCCTGAGGCAGTGCCGCACCACAAAGTTAATCCCCATTGTCTAAGAAAAGTCTATATGTTTTAAAGATTCAGGCAAATTCTTTATAAATGATTAATTATAGTATTTGTACTTTTAAATTGATCAAAGGTCCAGTGTGTAGGATTTAGTGTCATCTAGCAGCGTAGTTGCAGATCGTAATTCTGTCACTTCACCCTCCCCTTCAAAGCGCGAAGGAGAAACTACGGTGGCTGCAAAAAGCATGAACACCGAGAGTCTGATTAATTTTTTTCCCCCTACTTACTTCAGAATTGTTCCCGGACAGTATTATCTTTCTAAAGTGGCATTTTAAATTAATTTCAGTTCCTTGTGCATATGAAATTATATGTGAAATTCATTATGTGTTCCCCAGCTATTGTTTGATCATGAAGGTAAATACACTTATCTGCTGCAGGTATATTAGCTTGTAGGGAACTGGTATTCTGAAAGGGCACTGGCAGCAAAAGTGTTCTCAATTTTGGATGTGGGCTTGTGTGATATCATTACATTTTAGTTTTACTTCCTACAAAAAAAATCCTGTTAGTTTCAAGTGATGCTATCCATGAATTTGAATGGGATTTCCAACCATATTCTGAAATACATGTGAAATTAGTATAGTTTGAGATAGAAAGTGTTGAGAAATGGCATTCAGACACAGCCATCACAGATGTCCGAGCATCTCACTGTCAGTTAAAGTGGTTAAGTTCTTTTGAGGGAATGTGCTTTCACAGGTCCCAGAGCAGCTCTGGTTTTTCTGGCACCACAGTGTGACATTACATGGCCCTTGTCCCTTCCCCCCACTCGGCTGTGCATGCACACAGCGAGTGGTGCATGGAGAGATTTTACTGGCTAGTTGAGCTTGTGCCCTCTCCCCCAGTTCCCAGTACCTAGGAGGGGAGGGAGGGAGGAAAGGGGGCTGATCCTACTGCTGCCTGCCCCCTGCATGAGCATAAGGCCAGGCTCGTAGCCATCGTGCATTTATTATAACATTGTTTACCTCAAGATTTCAGAATTTTCCTCGAGTTGAGCTAGAATGTGGTGTGATACTGTCTGACCTATTATAAATATAACTAGCAGATTAAAATCTGAATGTGTATTAATATGTTATTATTAGTAATCAGTAAAAAATATATTTTAATGTCCCATTTTGTGCCTCTACTGCCTTTACTGTGGTTTTAAGCAGGGATAAAATACTCAAATTACTGGAATTACGAATATTTTTTAGTGCTTGGCTTGCTTCTGCACATACATTATATTTGAATCCACGCTTGCGACTAGCAGTTATTTTCATTATTGATTTCATTTGTAAGTTATTTTGACGAAATAACAGGTCTGTTTCTTGTGTGTAAAATATCAGAAAATGTTGTAAATGCCCACCATAGTTTCCCATTCCCCAACGTGAATTGTTTTGGATCAGCTCTCCTAAACTCAAAGATGTTCAGTGTACAGTTACATAAAACGGAGATGAGCAAATCTTCAAATGTATTATCAAAATTGTTGTTGATTTCTCTAATGTATTTTCTAATTGTTTAATCAGCTAATGAGTCCAGTTTCAATGGAAATAACCCCAAAATAGTCCCTAAATTCTTTTTGAGGCATCTCTTTGGTTTATTTTTCAAACATGCACCCAAACACCCCAACATATGTGGGTGTATATAAGTGTAAACTCACAAAGGAGGAGCATAATGGGCAGAGAGGGTGAATGAGAAACATCCGGTGCACTAATGAAATACAATAACTCACTTCCCCCAACGTAGCCGAGCCCTCCTGCTCAGAGCTTTTATAGCTGGTGATGGCATGTTTGTTCCAGCCCCTTTCCAGTAGCACTCTAGTAGTAGCATTTCACATTGTGGGCCTGTGTATGTGTTTTGTTGTGCATTTTGCATACACGTCAACATGTGCTTGTATGTTGTGTTGCAGCATGCTACACGATAATGTGTAATAAATAAATTCAGAAGGTGAGTCACCTCTGCCTGAAGGCCTTCCCTCCAGGGTGTTCTCTGTGGAATTTACAACTTTGTTAGCGTGACACCATGCTTATTTCACAAGTTTTAAAGTTGTTTTTCACATTTAGTGTCATGTGCACGCTGGAAGTTTCTGGTGTGTTCTTGCATGTGCCAGGGTATCCTGTGTCCGTCAGTCAGTATGGTATAGGTAATGTCTGGCCTGTTCTAGTACCACATGTGTAACAGAGCAGCTGTATTTCTGGCTTGCAAAGAATCTGTTTTGTGTGTGATGCGTTTTTGTCTCATAGGTTGAGTAAAATAGATGTTTGTGGCAAATTACTTAACTGTTTGTTGAATGAGAGAGACAGATAAAGACGAAGGCAGGCAGTGAGGGAACGGGATCCTTCCATGAAGACCTCTGGGAAGAGGCAGTATCCTGAGTGAGTCAATAATATTGACTGGTGTTCTAAGAGGCTGATGTGTTATGTAATCTACAACCTTGTGTGTATGAGTGTGTTTCACCTCAAGGAGTGTTGGGCTGTTGATGACACATAAGCTGCAGATAGCATTAAAGATATCTGAAGCGTCTTGCAGCTATTTGTCATTGGATCTAGTTCTGTGAAATAGGACTCCAGTGTTTTCAGTAACAGGCTTCTGTCCTTCTGCTGTTTTTCATTTTGCCATGTTTCCACATGGTGACTGTAAACATGAGATAATACAGTCATAAGATATTATTGATTTCTGAATGGTCCATATAAAATCTCATGGGTCAATTCTTAATGTTTTGTATGTCATGTGTATGGTTTTGATGTCATTGCATTGTTTTCAGTGATGATAACTTAGTATGTAGTCAGGGCCCCATGATAAGTGGTTGTTTCCAAGGTTACAACATGGATCCAAATAAATGATGGAGGCTTGTAGCTGTCTTGATTACACAGACATGAATACATACATTTAATGAAATCCTACCCCACATAGACACACCTTCTACACACAGCTAAAATTGTTAGTCACTGTTGTCACAACCTTGCTCTTTGGCCATGACAAATGTGAGGGATGCCAAAGCATGGGATGTGAATGTCATTAAGGTCAGTAATGTTGGGTGTGCATGGTGTGTGGATGTTAAAATAAAATGCATAATATAAGCAAAGGAGAACCAATGGACAAGTTAGCTACATCACCGACGGGGGTGCTTGTGAGTGAGATTGAGTAACAGCCTAGATTTATAATCTGGGAACACCAGGCCCAGGTGGCACCACAGAAGGCATTGATTACCAAACCATTGATGGTTGATGGACATTGATGACTTACAGCAGGGGTCGTCACACGGTAGAAATTTAACCCTTTGGTTGCAATTTTTGGATGTAATGTACAGTAATTGATGGGAAAATGATAACCGGTAAATGTTAACTTATCGTGGAGCGTTTTCATGTCAGGACTGGACTTTCCTATCACCGTAAAAATGTATAGTTCATTAAACCACTCGTTATGTAATTGTCAATAGTGGAACAGCTTCATTTGAAGCTGTCTTGTGGATACTATGGCTCAATCGCTCACCAGAATCCATCCTATTCTTGCACCATCAATCTGCCTGTCCTGCCTCAGCCCGTGTCCGTCATCGTCTTCTCCACCTTCCTCCTCCTCTCCTGCCCAGCTGCATTCCTTGCTTTTGTGTGTCCCGTCCCCTTGGAATTTAGGAGATGTCAGTGGGGGTGGGATAGGACAGGAGGGGAGAAAAGAGGAGGGCATTGAGTGACAGAGCCATGCAGAGACTGTAGTAGAAGACAGGGATCAGCTGAAGGAAAGACCGCAAGAAAAGGACAAGAAGAAAAGGATCCAAGAGGAGCTTGAGGAGGAAGTCAGATAAAGGGGGAGGTGTGTGTGTGTGTGTGTGTGTGTGTGTGTGTGTGTGTGTGTGTGTGTGTGTGTGTGTGTGTGTGTGTGTGTGTGTGTGTGTGTGTGTGTGTGTGTGTGTGTGTGTGTGTGTGTGTGTGTGTGTGTGTCATTAGATTATACAGCTCCCCGAGGGAACAGCCATTATTGATGGTTTGATTGCAGACCCCTCCCCATCCACTCAGGTCTCCTGCTATTGGAGGCCATTGATCTGGTGTCTCTTTGGGATATGATGGCCAGTGCATATTTAATTAGCCTTCCATTACAACCAATCAGCATTCAGACAAGGGATTTAAATCAAAGATTACGTTTTAGCAACAAAGGTTAAATTACATTTTTCCTTCTCATCCCGAGGGACAGTGGGACTTTTTTTGCCAACCATAATCTGTTGCTCTTATTCATCCATCATGTTTCAAGCACTTCTGCTAAAATAAGTGTGATTAATTTCAACTCAATCTAAGATAATTTAGGAAAGAAGGTGTGTAATTAATTTTCATTAAGAAAATTGTACATTTTCAGGTATAAAAAAACTCTCAAGCAACTCAAATCTCAACTATGAGACTATTTCCAGCTTAGTTATAGTAAGACGTTTGAAAAATGTGAAATGGGATTAATGTCCCTTTATGGCCCTTATCTTCAGGTGATAAAAGATTGTCCAGGATGACTATTGATCTAGTTTTTGTGGCCTTTAGTCCTTCTGGCTTTGTGTTTTTGAAGAGAGAAACTCTCTGGGGTGTTGAGACCTATATGAGCCTCCCTGGTAACACATACATATGGATGACTTGTTTATCATTCATGGTCTTTTCTCATTAATTAGCTTTGTGATTCATCCTGCCAGTCTGATTTCATTGTCAGCCTATGTACAGTAAAACACATGAGTGTGAATTGTGAATATAGCGAATATAAGTCCAATTGGATTGCGGTTTCAGTTTTTACTATTTTTGAAACAAAACTAATTTGTCCATCTATGTCTTTGTCTTCTCAGGTATTCCTGTTCTTCTGTGAAACCTGCTCGGTGCCTATCTGCAGGGAGTGTAGCGTGGGCCGTCATATGGGCCACACCTTTGTTTATCTACAAGACGCCGTACAGGACTGCAGGACCATTACCATCCAGCTGCTGTCAGATGCGCAGCAGGGACGACAGGCCGTGCAGGTGAGACAGGAAGCCAGACAGAAACACTCACAGGGGATTCAAAAAATATATATCCTTGAGTTGTTTGCTTGTTCTACGCCTTAAATCTGGAACCAATGCAGCAATATAGAGGCAAACATATAGCATAAAATAACTTATTTTTGTGTTTTGATTTAATACAAAGTGACGTAAAATTGGAAAAATTAGAAAATGCTCAATTTAAGAGAACATGGCCAGATTTTCTTGTTGCATCATAAAAAATAGTCCCATATCACTCCACAGGACTCAAATAGGTCAAACTGATTTAGGTCTTAACTTAACAAAGCCAAGAGCTCTCCAAGGCTTGACAAAAAGACAATCCCTATGAAGGTCAAACCACAGAAATCCACCCTCATCCATCTCCTAAAGGGACGGTGGAGAAGCTGAGGACAGCAGCTGTGTCTTTCCATCGTCCCTCGGCACAGAGAGACCAACTATTAGAGATGATCAGCTTGAATATGTTTGAGAGTGACCAGTGCTGGGCTGCTGGGAAGCCTGGGGTTAGAGGTGTCCAGCTGGCCCTGAAAGGGGGTGGGTCGCATGGGGTGAGGTATGGCGGGGGCAGGGCTGAAGGTCAAAGGGGAGGAGGAGTGGTGTGGAGGATGGGGGAGGGTAGATGAGGTATTTAAAGGATTTTGGAGAAAGGAAAACTCTCCTCCTTTTTTAAAGAAGTGGTACACTTTGCCCTCCCCCTATTCAGTCACTTACTCACTCCCCCCTGCCTCTTACTCTCACTCCCACACAAACTGCCTCTGTTCATTTACGTAATTATAGATTGGATGGCAGCTTCCTAGACCACCCTTAGATTCCAGTTCATACAGTGAAACATTCAGTTTGTGAAGTGAAGAAAGGATGAGAGGTTTCACTGACAGTTTGTATGTTTAATTGTTGGGCTTTTTTTTTTGTGTGTGTGTATGTCCAAAAGCACCACGAGTTGCAGTCGCTGTCACTGATCTGAAGGGAATGGTTTTCATAGTGCTAAAACAATTAAATTGATTAGTCCATTAACAAAAGTTAGTAGTAGTAGTTAGTAGGCAATTCTGTTCATATTGAGGTGGACACGAATGTCTGTACCAAGGTTCTTGGCAATCCATCCAACATTTCTCTCAAAACACAAATGTCAACCTCATCGTGGCACTAGAGAAGAAGTCAGGGCATCACCAAAGTCATTTGGTGCTACTTCATCTAATAGTTGTTGATGTTTCAGTTCAGACCAAAGTGGTGGATCAATTTATAGACCGACATTACCATCACTAGAGACATCCCTCTTCTAGCTAAAAATGCCACATATACGCTGATCACTGTTTCTGAAATGCAAGGATTTCTTGCTTTTCTCAATGTTTTATAACTGTAAAGTCATATCTTTTGAGTTTTATGGATGAAACAAGTAATTTGAAGATGTTTGGGCTCTGAGAAATGGTGATAGGCATTTTTTGATTATCATTAACATTTTAAAGATAAGTCATCTCCCCAGCAGAAAAATTACAATTGTTTTATTGTGTCTGTAGTCTAGCTAGCCCATTAAAAGGGGTATCAGGTATAGGTCACATGTACTAGTGTTGGAAGGTGGGGCAGTGACCTTGGTAAAGACTCTGCCGAAACATGAAACACTAGCTGTTCCACTAAGGTCATGTGACATGTACTATCTCCTCAGCAGAGCTTGACCTTTGTGTGACTGCTTCACACTTTGTACCTTTTATAATGGATGTGTGCTTATGTCACACTGGGTGTTCCTCAAATTCCAAGATATCACAACATAGATCTGCTCAGTTTAATGCCAGACTCCAGTCCACACATGCAAGTTTAAAACTAAAGCCATGTACCACAGCATTCACTTGTTCTTGACCAATGAGAGTCAAATCAGCAACTTCAATAATGTATTTATTGAAAAGCACCAGGATCCGTGCAGCTGAGTCATAGGAAACGCCACCTACCATCTGGCAATATGTTGCAGTGTTTAGTGTGTTTGTTCTTTTTGTCCCAGGTCACCATGGGAGTAAATGCTGACGCCAGATAATATGTAACACACACACACACACACACACACACACACACACACACCCACACACACACACACCACACACGCTCCTGTCCCCTGAGGTAGGAAATTTCCGCCCACTCCACACCCATTATCTTCCCTGACCTCTGACCCTGGACTTGTGACCTCCTGGTTGGCCAGAGCTCCTCTACTCTGTGGTTTGATTGGTCAGTTTGACCCTCTTTGTGTTCCAAGCTGTGCTCTTCTGGGAATGTTTAGGGAAAGACTGAAAGAGGGAAGATGGAGACACAGACGGAGGGGGAGATTATGTGACCAAGAAGCAGAGGACTTAAAATGTGTGAAAAAGTGTGAGAATTTGTTTGTTTTTTTCTTCTTTCCCCACTCCAGCTCAGAGGAGAAAGGAAAAGAACAATGGAGAATGGAGAAGGACAATTAGCATTTTATAGGAATACAGAGGGACAACTGGAGAAAGGTGGTGGCTATATATTTCACCCTGCCTCCTTCCTCACTCTCTTCCTCCCCTGATTCTTCCAGGATTGCCCCCCTGCTGTTCCCTCTCTGGGAGCCTGATTTAGTTGAACCTGTAGCTGCCAACCTCAAATGGCCAGGCGAAAGAGAAAAGGGCCCTGCTGTTAGGCTTTGTTCTTGTAGGGGTGCAGTTGGGGGGTGGGCAGTGGGCGGTATGTGTCTTAAGACAGGAGTTGCAGATCATGACCTATAGAGGTTTAGGTGACCTTTGATCCCTGCGGCTGATATCACAAAGGAAGCCTTATCCCACCTCCCCTTCGTCCCTGTGAGGTCCAGTTCACCCTGTGACCTCCCAGAAAACGCCAGAGGAAAAGAAAAGCAAGATAAAACAGCAGGGTGGAAGGGAGACAAAGAGGAAAATGTGCATTTATCCCAAATTGCGGGTTGTAAAAACTCAAACCCTTTATGGTGTAATTTTCCAAGTTTACGCCATACAGTTTCTTTTTAGTGCCTGTATTTATCAAGATAATGGAGAAACTCATTTTATTGTACTGAAGCCTTGGTTATCTACTTCCATTTATTGTAAGAGAGATTCTTGTTCAGTAAATACAGTCTTAACTGTAAATACCATACCAAAAGTAACATCCTTATTACATCTTTCTGAGTTTTGGTACCAAAATAATACTTTTTTCAATAACCTTTTTTCACATAGGAAAACATGCCTATAAAAAAAACTGCTCACTTTTAAATACAGGACTTTGCCTAAATAAGATATAGTCTTAAGTTGTAATAACATTTTTATTTTAACAATAACATTTAAATAGCTAAGATAATAAAGATTTTAATAATTAAAGTAACAAAGCATAAGAATGCAATGCCTTTTGATACTGGATAGCGTAGTTTTTATGATGCCGACTGTGAATATTAGGAGTGAGCAGGGGTTCTGCCCAGCAGGAAGTTGCATCATCCTGTGCAGTGTGAAGTGACTTCCTATTCTTGACCCATGTTTCCCTTTTCCCTCTAAAGGAGCCACCAAACGTGACAAAGAAATAGATCACTAAAATGGAGCAGATGTTTGTGCCAGGAAGATGTCACATACAGTGTCCTTTCTTTTAATGCTTCCTGATCCTCTGCATCCTGCTTCTGGGGGTCATCTGTATCCCTTCTGAGTAATAAAACAGACCAGGCACTGGTGTTTTGAGCATTTAGACGTGTCCGGTCCTTAGTCACACTACGAAGTGAGAAAGTCATCTATCTTCGCATATCCTCGCATCTAGTATCTCTCGGTTTCTGTAGCTGTGTTCGGCCTATTATTACTGGAAGTGGTCATTCTTGAAATTAATTTTTTTCTTTCTTGCTTCAGCCTACTGTCAAATAAGCTGACAGGGTGTTGTGCCACATCAGTAAGATCACATTATTGTGTTTTGTTTCCCCAGCTAAGCATGGAGAAGGTCCAGGCCATGGCAGAGCAGGTGGAGATCAAAGCCAAGGTGGTGCAGACTGAAGTGAAGGCCCTTGTCCTCAGACACAAGAAGGCGCTGGAGGAGAGGGAGTGTGAACTACTGTGGAAGGTCAGTTTATACACTGGGATGTGTTAGTAAAACTACAATACTGTTGTTGTGGAATGCTTGTTGTTATTTTTATTACCATTATTCCAATGTGTGTTACAGTGTGGTGCATCACCACCTGTGACAGGCACAATAAAAGAACAAATATGTTTATCTGATTTGACAACCTCTGCATAGGAAGCACAGAATGAGCTAGCAAAATAAAATAAATTCTAATAAGCTTTGATACAAATGTAAGCCTATACAAAAAACAGTTTTGAAAAATCTTACCCACCCACTCACATCCATACCCAAACTCACTTTTGAGAAGACTTTCAACATGGACTGACTCAGCAGGTTGAATGTAATTTGTTATGAGAGATGTCACATACATAACTCTGTCATTACTGTTCGATCAATACATCTGTACAGGTTCAACAAAAGCTGAACATTATATGGAGGTACCTAATAACCTGTCAACAACAGCATACACTTTACATCCTTAGATTCTCTCATGGTAGACAGAGCGAAGCTATTGTCAGCAGGGAGAATGGAGATTAGTGCTTTTAGCAGAGCATAAAGTGTCTTGTCAGGATTCATTAATTAAACTTGTTCAACAAAACCAAGAGGAAGGCTCTGTAAGCAGGGGTGTCAAACTCATTTTAGTTCATGGGCCACATACACCCCAATTCGACCTCAAGTGGGCTGCACCAGCTATAAATAGATATTAATAATAACACCTCCAATGTGTTCCCTTTCTTTACGTGTAAAGAAGTACAAGTACATTCTGAAAACATTTACACATTTAATGACCCAACCATTTAAAAAACATGATGGGCAGCCTTAGATGCATAAGTGCAATTTCAACAATATCTCCCACACATTCACATTCAGTCAGTCGGCTGTCGGTATGATTTGGCACAAAGAGGGTACAAAACATTCAGTCACATGTATTTTGGAGCTGAACAACATATTATTTTACTAGCACTGCTTTTTATTGGGCTGTATGTTTGACACCCCTGCTTTGTAAGGGCCTCTGAGGTTTAAGGTTACCCAAAGAACGAGTGGGGTTCTTGCCGAAAGAAAGAACCCCCATCCCTGAGGCCCCTCACCCCTGGCTCAACTGTGCTTCCAAATCCCTTACCCAGTCAAGTCTCTAACACACACACACATAAACACCCAAATCTGAATCCCATTAATTACGACTGAAATCAGATAGTTAAATGTGCATTTGTGCTTTTATGTATATGTGGGTGTATGTAGCTCTGGGTCTGACAGAAGATAAGCAGTAATTTAGCGTAACACCCACCGGTCAACCAAACTCCTATTTCTCCTCTTTTTCTGAGAGCAGGCTCAGTGACGTCGTAAAAACTGAGCTGTGTCTTACTCCCTCAGATCTTACAGCTTGTGTGTGTGTGTGTGTGTGTGTGTGTGTGTGTGTGTGTGTGTGTGTGTGTGTGTGTGTGTGTGTGTGTGTGTGTGTGTGTGTGTGTGTGTGTGTGTGTGTGTGTGTGTGTGTGTGTGTGTGTGTGTGTGTGTGTGTGTGTGTGTGTGTGTCAAAGAGTCACAAAGAAGGTTTTCACTTACCCATGTTCCCCCTTTAATCCTTTTACACCACTACAGAACTCACTCTTTATCCCTGACCTGATAGAGTCGTTGCAGGCAACCATACACACCCACACTCGCACCGAGTCTCTTAGCCCTTTTCCATACACATGTGCTGGCTTGGTTTGACTCAGTGCACCAGTCCAGCGTGGCAGGGATTTGTATCTCCATTACAGCTGAGCGACCCGCTTGAAGGTTTGTGTTTACAGGTAGAAAGAGCAGCAATGATTGAGAGAGCTCAAGATTGAATGAAGAGAGAGACTGGCGTTGGTGAGAACAAAGCAATAAATCAAATAAATAAAACATTATTTTCTGATTGTTTCACGGCAGTTACATTCCTTACCTTCCTCCCTGCAGTATGTTGATATGTTTTTATTGGCCGCTAACTAAGTTCTGCTAATTCAGTGATAAACTAATTTAATTTCCTATAAATTATTCACCATAAAAATCTTGTTATTTTGTTATTTCAATTTGTAACAAATATTAAACATATTTAAAGCTTTTATTATGGAGCAGCAAAACGGGAAGTGTTCGGTTTTCATCAGCAGTAACTCAACACAACTCCTATACTGCTGAAAGTGAACATGAAACAGTAAAATAAAGCACTTATCAGACAGTACAAACAGGGATGCAGGAGAGACACTAAATTTGAAACCACAGAGATTTAGTTAGAAGCAACCTACTGAGAGCTGAGCACCCAGAGACTTTAAAAACCATCTGTCTGTCTGGATATAGCTGTCTTTCCTTTGTCGTTTGTTGCTCATAGAGGTGTTGCTCAGGTGTGCATACCTGTCAAATAGTGTTGTAATGATTAGTAAGAAAATGAACTGAGTGGTTATTTAAGTCAATTATCAGGCAATAATGCCAAACATTAGCTGGTTCCATCCTCTGAAATGTAGGTAAGTTAAATATTGTTGGGTTTTAGAATGTGGCTTGGACAGCCCAGCAAAAATTCTGCACTGGTGGCGTGCTATGTCGGTATGCTGCACTCCCACGCTTTCTTTACCTGCCAACTTTTGTATGCTACTCTGCTCTTCTGCCTTCTTCAGCTCAGGTGCGGAAAGCTTGCAAATTGAGCTGAGGATATTGGAAATGACTCTGCAAGCGTTTCCTGTACTTTGAGGCAGCGTTGATGGCACCTATGCTGACAGTGGTGTCAGGAAAAAATGTAACTGAATCTAGGAGGGTGCTCCACAGTGACTCAGCACTGTGTCACTGAAGTAGAGAGATTCATGGCTGTGAGATGACCACAGTAGAGCTAAATGTGACTAAATGCGACTCATGGGTAAAATGTGCAACGTGAAAGGCATGAGTGCAAGTCTGGGTGTGTCTTCTTTGTGTTATTGTGGAATGTGTAACGCAGGAGTTGTGCTGGCTTGAGAGGTTGTAACTTAAAGGTAGTTGTTACATCAAATAAAATCAATCTCTCTCTGTTTCTGCTCTGTAACTCTGAAATACATACCATATCTCCCATTGAGTGTTTTCAACTGACCAACTAAAACTTGTTGTCTGTCCATCAGAAAGCCTAACTTGAGCCTTTGTTCTCAGTGACTATAAAGTGTAACTCTAGTCTCACAGATGCAAATTGCACTTATGCCAAGGATTAACAAAAGACCGCTCTCTTGTGGAGTCTTTGTTTCTTTCAGTCCTTCCCTGCTATCAAAAGTCCTTCTACCATAGAGGCAGTCAGGCTATTGTGTTATAGTCTTTTTGTTAGGTGACGGTAAGTAAGAGCCCAATCCCTGGTTCTCAGGTTCTGCCACCCTTTTTAATGCTTTATTCTCACTCACTGTACTGTAACATTATCTGGCTTCTCACAGTAACAGAAATGTGTCGTGGTTAAGTGACGGTCAAACTTTTATGATTAGTTTAATAATTTACTCCAGTAACACTCTTTTTTTTTTTTGTTAGCCCCAAACCCGCTATTTCTCTTAATAGTCTACTGCTTTGTATACAATATGGCACATTGTTATCCTCTTGTCTTAGGTTGTATTGTTTAGGCCAGAAGAAAGAAACTTACAATAGTCGCTTACAGCTGAAAAAAACAAAGAATCTGGGGCTAGAGCAAATCTACTTAGTGTGTGTTCTTCAGTTACCAGTAAAGATAATATCCATATTCTGTTTTTGCCATTTATGGAGTCCTAAATACTTGTTACACAGAAATAAATGTGATTTGAAGTAATGAAAGTTTATTGTTTACACGATTTTGTCAATCGCCTACAATTTGATTTTACCACTGTAATGCACTATTTCCCCTCTATGCCCATCAGGCTTATGTCAATTTCAAATCAATATCAGTGAATGTCTCCTGTAACTAGGTCTGCTACCTCTGCTCTCTTCACTACATTCATTCTGCTGGACTGATGCCAAAACAAAATTGGTATGCAGGCAAATAGCTGCATGTCAGCCAAAGTTTCTTCTTCTGCCTGAATATCTGACATACTTGGCATGGTCAGCACATTGCTGCCACCCTGTGGGCAGACTGCTGGTAGCAATGTGTTATGGAGGTAACTGGAGGCTTATTGTCTGTTTAATTCCACATTCAGTTTTACTTGTGAAATTAAATAAAGGAAAAGTGGAAGACGTGGTTGTAAATTACTGCTGAGCAAAGTGATTTTATGGATCCCTCTGTCATGCGTGTTTGGACAATAACATCCAATTTGATGATGGTAAACATTCTGTTCTGTCTCCTTTTTAGGTGGAGAAGATCCGTCAGTTGAAGGCAAAGTCTCTGTACCTGCAGGTGGAGAAACTGCACCAGAGTCTGACCAAGCTGGACAGCACCATTGCTGCTGTCAGCCAGGTGCTGGATGAGGGCCACCACCTCGACGTGCTGCTGGCCAGGGAGCGAATGCTCACCCAGATCCATGAACTCAAGGCTTTGAGGGGCCTACTGCAGCCCCAAGAGGATGATCGCTTCATGTTTACTCCTCCAGACCAGGTAGGCACAGAGACCCTGTAGATCATGGTTCATAAACAAGTGGCACCTGAAGTGTGGTTAGGTTTTAAAACTTTGAAAGTATTGTTATGTTTACTGGGCCTGTAATAATAGTAGTTGTAGGGTAAGTGCTATGACTGGTTAACCTTGGGATTATCTATTCTGAGTTTACAAGTAAACCTAACTACAAAGCAATTGAGTGTATTGCATCATGGTTCCCACAGGCACTGTACATAGCCATCCAGTCCATGGGCCTCATCAGCAGCGGAGCCTTCGCCCCAGTCACCAAAGCCCATGGCGAGGGTCTAAAAACTGCGCTTCGTGGCAAGCCCGCCTCCTTCACTGTGATTGGATATGACCATGACGGTGAGCCACGTCTCTCTGGCGGAGATACAATGTCTGCGATAGTCATGTCAGTCACAGATGGCAACCTGTCTGCAGCGGAGGTAACGGACCACCAGAATGGCTCTTACACCGTCAGCTACCTGCCTAAAAGTGAGGGTGAGCACCTTGTGTCAGTGTTGGTGTGCAACCAGCACATCCAGGGCAGCCCCTTCAAGGTGATCGTGAAGTCAGGGCGGAGCTATGGCTCCCTAGGCTCCCAAGTATCTTCCTTCGGCTGCGAGGGAGAGGGAGATGGTCAGCTGTGTCGTCCCTGGGGCATCAGCGTGGACAAGGAGGGATACGTGGTGGTGGCTGATCGCAGCAACAACCGCATACAGGTAGAGCACGACTTTCAATCTGTGGCAATAAAGTGCGGTCAGTGAGTTAGTTGTTATAAAACTTCTTTACACTTGACCAGTGTCAAACATGTCTCTTAAGGGAATGATAAAATAATTAAGGTAATAAAAGTGGTGAAAGTAAATGTAGTTTTTTTCAAAGTGACTCTGTCCCCTTTTTTTCTGTATTCTACCCTCCATTTCAGTCTGTCTTTACTCAGCTTGTCAAATGAATAGAAATATGCACTCAAGTTGCAGTTGGAGTGGTTCTATTTAATTTATCATTCACTCATCACTTAATAACCACACACTGTTCCTTTTTGTGCTAAAACGTTTATGTAGCAGAGAGTCTGCTTAGCAAACTTTGTGTTTGAATTTTGAAAAGTGCAAGAAGCTCATTTCCTCCTGCTTCCCTCCTTCTACACACACACACACACACACACACACACACTATTGTGATGTCTCACAGCTAAAAGGTTTCTGTAGTGATGAATTGATGAAAATAGGAAAACTAAAAATAGCACTGTATTTAATAGGAAAAAAAGTCAGGCGGATCCTAACAACTTGCCATACACTCCATGTGCTTGAGTGGTTTTCACAAATGTGTATTGCTTTGCTTGGTGAAGACATTAGCTGTGTGTATATTAGAGTGCCAGAAAGTCAAGCAAAGAGTCTACAGTCTGTAAAAAAACTACATAAAAGCTTTACAGGACAGTTGGTACACAGTGAGGGCTTCAGTGTTGTAACATTAAAGTGGTATTAATAAGCAGTGTTTTTGTTCCTTCCCTCTCCAGATATTCAAGCCTTGTGGTGCCTTCCACCATAAGTTTGGCTCTCTGGGTTCCCGGCCGGGTCAGTTTGATCGTCCAGCCGGGGTTGCATGTGACAGTCAGAGACGAATCATTGTGGCTGATAAGGACAATCACCGTGTGCAGGTATGAACACCCACTTGGACACAATCAACACATTTCTACTTACTAAGTTTCCATAATTCTATTGTATTAAAATGTGGATCAAAATTACCAAAAGCCATAGGAAAGTAAAAAGAAGTTTGAAACAGTATCAAACTGTGTAAGTTAAAAAAGCATGTTAGCCTCTGCAAACTTGTACACTAATGTACACATATGTAAACGCATAGCTCCTCATGCTTACTCTCTCTCCACTGCCGATGTAAACATGTTGAGCCCTAAGACATTTGCTTTGTCTGACAGGTGTTTACTTTTGAGGGTCAGTTCCTGCTGAAGTTTGGGGAAAAGGGTACCAAGAATGGGCAGTTCAACTATCCCTGGGATGTGGCTGTCAACTCTGAGGGTAAAATCCTGGTCTCAGACACCAGGAATCACCGTGTGCAGCTCTTTGCCCCTGATGGCTCTTTCCTCAACAAGTATGGCTTTGAGGGGGCCCTGTGGAAACACTTTGACTCTCCCAGAGGAGTGGCTTTTAACCACGAAGACCACCTGGTGGTGACCGACTTCAACAACCACCGGCTCCTGGTAATCCGGCCGGACTGCCAGTCAGCTCGCTTTCTGGGCTCCGAGGGCACCGGGAACGGCCAGTTTCTGCGGCCCCAGGGCGTTGCCGTGGACCAGGAGAACCGCATCATCGTTGCGGACTCCCGTAACCACAGAGTCCAAGTGTTCGAGCCCAATGGAAACTTCTTATGCAAATTTGGCACACAGGGGAGTGGCTTTGGACAGATGGATCGCCCCTCTGGTGTGGCTGTGACACCCGATGGAGTCATTGTGGTCGTTGACTTTGGAAATAATCGCATCCTCAAGTTCTAAAAAAAAAAAAAAAAGTTTATTTTTGCATTCTCTCCCTCCGTTTACCCTTTTGCAGTTTTTTCAATGAAGGAAATGGAGGAGAGAGAATGAATCAACAGACACAACAGGAGGAGAGCACAGAGAGGATTGAGAGCATGTTGAAGCAAAGGGAAATTAAAACTGTAAATGATAATTTTTTCATTTGCATTGATATTCTCCCAATCAGATATCTGTGGTATGTATGATAAAGGGGACCTCTACAAATTGATAATCAGTAGAAAAAGAGCCATATTTCCCTTCCTCTGTCTCAGCTGCTCTGAATTCTCTCTCTAAGCTCTCCTTAAATATCCATCTCAGGGAATTTCTCACTTTTCTTGAAATCTTGTACCCTCTGCTCCATACCTACCTCATTTAGCTCTTTATGAATGTACTCATAGTCACTGAGCAGAGGTTTTAGTCCGTGAAGTTTTACAAAGAAGAAAAGTCTACCTCTATACTTTGCTATTTAAGAGAGACAAAAAAGAATAGACTGTTCAGTTGATATTTGCACAGGATTAATGGAATTCTTGCTGTGCATTTTGAAATATGAGTTAAAGTTAACCTCCTGAATGTTGTTGCTGAGACAATACTCAGACCGCTGTAGAGGCTGCATGATTTATTCTCATTAGAGGGCTTCGCTCGGGGAGGAAACTAGGGTACAGTAGTGTCCTGTTCATGTTTTTAGGCTACTTAGTTTTTTGTTTATGCATCAACGCTTGTCTCTTTGTGGCTTTGTGGAGCTCGTAGTGTCATGACAGATTAAGAAGAGTGCACAAAGCGTTGCCAAACTCGATAGAATCAAAATTAGCCCAGGTTACGGTAGGACTGATTAAAATGATCAGTACTTTTCAGACTCTTCCCTCTAGCTTTACTAGCAAATGCTGATTGGATGAATTTATTGACAAGTAAAAAATATAGAGTTGAGGAAATGATCTCCAACGTGACCCCTGAAATGATCCCCAAAATAAGCCCTGTAATAAAATAATCCAAAGTGTTTGATGATCCATACACCCCAGCCCCCATTTGTGTTGCATAAGACTGGATGAAGTAATGCTTCCGATAAAACAAGACAACCTGTGTCGCTACTATCCAGTCAGTTGCATGCACAACTAAGATGCAAAGATCAGTATGCAAGGAAAGCAGCGTCTCCTTCAAAAGGGAGGACCCACACAAGGATTTTGGAGATGGATTTTCTAAGGTCTGGATCTATTAGTGATTTTAATGTAAAGATTTAATCATGTAATTGAATGACACCTTTTTGGTGAGGTATGCTGTGTGACAAAAGCCTCACAAGTAGACTCCTAATTTGGTTGTCCAGAGGACATTAATGACATCAAATGAAAGGCCTAACATTACAACCCTTTGGATTTAGATTGTGGTTAAAAGACACCCCCTCTGGCTCGTGGGGCCTAGGGTTTAGTCCAATCCAATGAGAGGGTGTGATCATAAAGCCCTGCCCTATTTATTGTTCCTTGGGAGTTGAAGAGACCACTCCTGATTGAGCGCTAGTAGACCAATTCCTCTAAAGACGGAGGTCTATAGACCAATTACTGGAGTCAAAAGTTAGTGGAGCCAAAGTTAGAATTTCTGCACAATGGCCAACCGTAGATTTGGCAATTAAAGAAAACAAAAAAAGCCCCTTTAAAACATTATCTGAAATAATCATTGTTGCTGGGAAGTCTAAAGTTCATAGAACTCATGGAGTTGAGTTCATAGCACTGTCCATATTAGGATTAGAGTAATAAAGTGTGCTTGGGTCGCATTTTATTGTGCATGAGTACTTTCACATCCTGCTAATACCAAGGCCCTTGTTATGTGAGGCAGGTTTTGAAAGAAGATCCTTTTCGTCCGTCTGCAGGGATGTTCGTGTAGAGAACAGAAAATACCCACACCAAAGAGAACCCCTTTTGTATCCCTCGCATTTATCGCCTCAGCCCATCAAACGTTGCCCCATGTTTAGTGTTATTAGACGGCCCCTAAGCTCCAAGTAGCATCTCAGATTAGCCTTTGTATCCCAATCTAATTACCATAGAAACTAATTGATATTAACTCTTTGTGGTGAAGGCATTGTGGGGTTTTAAATCCCCTTGCCCTTCGTTCAATCTGTGTCCCACTGGAAGCACTAGCCAATTAAGGTTCTGTTAGCCACTTCCTTAGCCTAGCAAAGAATCTTGGGACCTATGGAAAGATTCTCTGACTGACTCTCACCTCTGAGGAGAGGGCCCGTCTGCACATGATCAGGATTTACATCGTCATATCTCAGATATCCTGTACCTCAGCCGTCATTTTATCTCCTTTCTCGTGTACCTTAACTCCTGAATACCTCAAATATGTCACTCATTGCTACTGTGCATTTAAACATTCATATACCTCAACTTGTTACTCATTCTGAATACCTCATTTTTACTCTTTTATTTAAGCATACCTTGTCAGATATTTATGCATTACAAAGATACCTCATTCTGTGAATCTTCTCGTGTTACAGTACATTAAATGTCCCATAGCTCTTGGACCAAAGATCATGGTACTGTTTTGAGTTGAAATTAAATCTGTATTATGATCATCGCTCCATCTTCCAACCCTCTACTGTAAATTGCCTGGTAGTCTATGCCTTTTATCACCAAGAAACCAAATATTTCAGATGAAAGCATTGTGCCAAAATGATCTGTGAGAGTTCTGTGCCAAACAGGGTTGGCATTTGGACCACGCTGTTGTAGACGACAAATGTCACTGGACCATTATATCATAGATACAAATGTTAAATCAGAGCACCTGAGAATAAATCCTCGCTCTCTGAATGGATGCACTTAAGAGGGCTGGGCCCCATTTATCTTTACCTCATGATAATGATGAACATGCAGATTCCACTTTTACTTAGTTACTGTGCGCAAGGGGTGAGGGGAAGAGGATGTGGCCTCTTTAAAAGAGTTAAGAACTTCACAAATCCGCCTTTGAATGCACAAGAATTACCTCTAATTTCAGCACAATTTACCAAGATTTCAGTGTGGATTTTAGGAAGCTTGAAGTTGGTTGTGGAGGACCTTGAGACAAGTATAAACTCAACCATTCGGACTGTTAAACAAACACATCAGAGGATTGCGCCTAACGCGTGACAACCGGCTGGTTTATTATTTAAGTGGAGCATTTAGCACATTGATGGCGAGCCAGTTTGATTCCAAACACCCTGCTGCTTTGAACCCAACACCTAGTTTTTTGCTTTTCAGTATTACTCTGTGAAATGTTCATTCATGTTGCATCAGTTTTTTTTTTTATTAAGATTGCAGAATTCTATCTTTAAGATCCTTAGGTCTTCACTCTTAAAGAGGAAAATGTATTTTAAACCTTTATTTGTTTTTCATTTTGTTGCATGCTTTAAAAAGTCCTTGTATTATATTGACGTCTCTCAGATAGGTGTTTCAAAACTCAGATGGGGTGGGTAGCTGACTATTGGGATGGTTTTTACCAAAATATATACCCAAAGATGTGTATGTGTGTTAGGATTGCGTTGAATGGAATTAACCTTTGACCTTTGCGATTGTATTTCCTGTTCTCAAGAGGCTCTGCAGAGCACACCCTGTTCAGACAGTCATACCTCGATTCCTGACAAACCAATAGAGGTTTGAGTTTTCAGATAAATGTGGAAGGCTGGTGGGCCCCTGGACCATCAGTGCTTCATTTTCTTTAACTCCCTCTAATATGCATAATGTGAGTAGACATGTTAACATTCACACTCAAGCCCTGTAACTTTAGGAAGCTGTGAAAGCTTCCTGCTGAGTGTTACCTTACCAACAATGATGAATCCATATGGTGGCCATTTTGTGTTTGACCTAGTAATAGGAACTCTGTCACTGTCCTGTGAGGAGCAGCTAGGTTTCTCCATCACAAACTAGCAATCAGCTCCTTTCCTTGTCTTTACAAGAATCCAGGAAGTTTGGTGATGGCTGCTGAGCATGTGATTGGTTGACTGCACTCTTGCTCAGCGAGGTTTTTTGTTTTGTTGTTTGTTTTTTAGGGCCCATGTGGTTTTTGTCCACCATTTTATTTCTGGCCTCTCGTGGCTTTAAGAGAGAAAAAGCAAAGCTGCACCAGGTGACGTGTGCAAAGGTCGTAGACCTCCTTTTAATGATTGTATACTCTAAAGAAAGAAAGAAAAGAAAGAAAAAAAGGTTGGAAAATTTGGAAAGGAAAAAAAAATAAAACTCAGGTAGTTCTCAGCAGCCCTGCCCTGCAGGTGTCTCATTGAAACGTGTCCCGTAGTGATGATGTAGTGACTCCCCCCCCCGTTATGACCTCTCCGTACTAGTCTGATTCTGTGTAGCCATTTACATATTATAAGCAAATTATTTCTAAATCTGAAACAATAAGGCTTTTGGTTAGTTCCCACTGATTAATCTGTTGTTTTTTTGTTTGTTTGTTTTTTGCCAATTTTTGATTTCTTTCACAAAACAGTACAAATACTTCTCACCACTTGATGCTCATTGGCCCTTTTAGAATGTATTTTGTGAAGAAAAGGGTTAAATGGGATCTTGTTGATGCTCACTCGCTACAACCGGCTGCTGGTACCATTACGAGACTACAGAAAATACTCAACTTCTCTCTTAACCTTTGGTGCTAAATGTTCCACATCAGCAATACTTAGAGTATTAGGTGGAATCATGTGGTTGTAGTGGAACACGCAGCACCGTGTTTATTTAAAAAAAAAACAGCTTTAACGTCAGATGTAGGGGTGTTTGGCCCGAGCACGTAACAGCCAGCTCATCAAAGTCAGTTTGCATTCTGTTCTCCCAGCAGCTGCTTGTGTGTGGAGTGGGTATTGTGTTTGTGCGCCGCATCTGTGTTAAGCAGAAATCCACTGAATGTATCCTCTAACAGTCCAAGAGGCAGAGTGAGCCGGTGGCCAGCTGAGTTTAGATGGGTGCTGCTGGTGCTTCCTCAGCCAGGCCGCTGTGTGTGTGTGTGTTTATCAGTCAAACCTTGTGTGTTTGTGTGTAAGTGTGTTTGTGTGTAAGTGTGTGTGTGTGTGTGTGTGTTTGCCAGCACACCTTCCCTCCCTCTTAACACACACTCACACATCGTGCTGAGTTTAAGTGCAGATGTCAGGTCTTCAGTCTAAATAAGGCAGAGTAGACTATAATATATTGGCCACCTGCTTCTCTCTCTGTACTCTGTGGACTTTAAACATTTCCTATGCAGTTTTTTTGTTTGCTTTTTTTGTTTACACTTAAATAAATAAAGTTGTATTTCTTTGACTTCAAAACCTGCGACTCTTTCTTTGCTTTTTTATTGTTGTGACTTTGACTCTGATGACTTCAGAAAGGACACACAAACACACACGATGTAGCCATAAAGCACAAGGAGTGTATTTCACAACTTTGTTAGATGGTAGCTCACCTGGTGGAGTGCCCCATGTACTAATGTTGACTCCTTCCTGCAGTGGCCCTTTGCTGCGTGATGATTGTTGATCATCAGTTTCAGAATGACCACTATAGAAAGAAGACACTTGTGCTGTTTGACTGACTCATAAATCTTTATTGTAGTTTGAAATATGTCAACCGTACCTTATGTTGTCTCTATCTAGCCAGTGATTCATGTTAAGGATAAAATGGTACAGTAACTACTGATTTCTTTTTCTCTCTCTACATATGTATATGAATGACAACCCAGGTATATTTCTAAATCAAGCTATGACACAGTCACACAACTTATTTACAATCTACATGAAAATCCAAAACAAAAACAGTTTGTAAACATGATACAGTTGGGATAATCCGTTTATCTGTTTACCAAAGATGTTCTGCATCTGCCACCTGTCATCAATGAAATAGGTCAACAATAAAACAAAGGGACTACAAAGAAATATGGTAATTGTACCAAAGAAACAGTAATCCACACATTAGTCACCCCTAATCCCAGTTTGACATATTTTCACAGCATATTTGACAGAAAAGATCAGGTCTAACAAATGACCTTGTTTCGGGGCACCAGTAGCTCGCCTGGTAGAGCATGTGCCCCATGTACTTCAGCTGAGTCCTTACCACAGTGGCAGTTCAGTTCCAACCTGTGGCCCTTTGCTGCATGTCATCCTCTCTCTCTCACGCTCTCTCGCTCTCTCTCTCTCTCTCTCGCTCTCTCTCTCTCTCTCTCTCGCTCTCTCTCTCTCTCTCTCTCATTTCCGCTGTCTGTGAAATACAAGCAAAAAGCCCCAAAAATACATAAAAAAAGATGGGTTTGTTCCATTAAAGTGTACCAGTGAGCCAGGCCAATGGAACTTTTACAGCTAAATGGAACTTTTTAATTTAATACTATTAATTAACAAAATGGGGGCCAGTGAAAATTGCCAAGGTTCTTTTAAGTATTAGAAAAATGTCCTGCCTTTACTGAGCCACTCGGTCCCAGTGAGTCGGAGTAGGATTAATATATATAAAAAAAGGCCCAGGAACAAGTTTCCCCACAGAGAGACAATAATGTGCATCAGGCCCAGTTGTAGTTCCCTGCCTCCACAACTTGATGTCAGCAGTGCTACATTTCAGATTCACCCTGAGAGCAACACTGCAGGCTCATCGTGTTAGAGCAGATTTGTGGTACAGCATATAAATGAATGATATTATTCAGATCAAGAGGAGGATTGGATGAGATTGTTAGCTGTGTGAAATGCACTGTGGAGCATCTGTGTGATTGAGATATCTTGAAGGGTGTCTTTCCAGCACTCAGGTAGAAAGAAGTAGCACTGAGAGCAGTGGCTGTTTGGACAGAGATGAGTTGTGAACTGCAGGTTTGCAAAATTACAATGACAACACGACACAGCATCGCTGATCAAACACAACAGCAGGCTGCTGGGACCTCAAACACCTCCTGAGCACTGAGCTGGGACAGTAGGAGCAGAGGAGCACCTGTATGTGCGAACCCCCAACAGATGGCTGGGAGGTCCTTTGGTTGGTGTGTGTTCGCATGGATGTCATCTACTGTATGTGTATGAGTGGCTGTACGTGGCTCTCAGAGGAGCCAATTAGCTGTAGCAGACTGAGAAGGTGCCACAGAGCACACAGATCCAGACTGTTTCGCTTTGGTGGCGGCACAAGCTCGGCTCCTCTGCCAGAATTGGCATCAGTCAGAAGAGTGCATCAGTCACCTTTAGTCATAGTTTTACTCCACTTATTTGTTTCACTGGGCATTGAGGAGAGGCTTGCATTAAAAGACCCAGAATCTGTGGAGCCATCAAAGTGTTCAATAGGGAATAAATAAAAAAGATATTATGAAATAAATGATCACATGAGTAAATTGTGTAAAATATATAAGTGAACCAATACACTGAAATAATTCAATAAAAAAATAATAACTTTATGGCCTAACTAACCCTAACCTTCCGATATATCTGTTTTAATTCCATAATGACAATCTCTCCAATCAAAGCTTTATTTAATGTGCTTTTTTCATAATGAAACGTTTCATTTCGTAATGTCACTTTTAATGACCTGCCAGATAGCTAGCTCCTGTTTGCTAGAGTGACCACAGAGAAAGACTGAACATCTGGACATCTTTAGAATTAACACCCTGCCGAGGTGACTCTGAATTAGCCCGCCAGCTGCTGCCAATAACAACAAAGCTAGTTTGCTAGCAGGCTGGGTGGAACATGGTGCAGCCTTGTTAAACCTGCAATACCTGATTTTGTTTTTGGTCACTTTGGACAGCGGAAACAAGTAGTGAACATTACACTGACACACAGGATCATCACCTTTGAAGATAGACACATCCAGCAGTTACGGAGCAACTCAATGTCAATCATTTGGAGTTGTGTATCTGTCCACCTTCTCTTTTAGCTGGGTTTTTTTTAATCAACTCTTGATGGAAATATCTGGCTCTTGAGCTATTAGATGCTCTACTACATTTACCGGCTAGTTGCTAACTGTGTCTGTCTGCTGTTTGATGTGGAGCAGGTAGTGTACAGTGGGCTGAAATCAACCGCCTGCTGCAGCCAAAAATGATGCTTTGAGAGAAGGCCAAAACAGTAAGGTTGCAGGCCAGACAGCTAAACAATGAGCTGAAAGCTGTGGGACGGTCCAGATTGGTCTGACAGTCTTCTGTAGGTTCATCGCTATGGGCAACACCTTTCATATTGATTTCTTATGGTCATTTAATACATTAAAAATATCAATTATAGCCTCTAAATGTATTTAATTCTCATTTATTCATTTTTATTTACAGCAGCAGCTGCTGGTTACTTGATTAGGAATTAATAATGTGCTTGTTCTAGTTAACGGGAGCTAAATTTTGTAGCAGTGCTTGAGCTCACTTAAAGGTCCACTGTGTATCATTTAGGAGGCTCTATTGGCAGAAATGGAATATAATATAGGCATTTTCATTAGTGTATAATCACCTGAATATAGGAATCATTGTGTTTTCGTCACCTTACACTAAACTGTTTTTATCTACAGATGCTGTGGGTCGCCGTCCATGGAGTCCGCCATGTTGAACCGCCATGTTTCTATAGTAGACCAGAAGGGACAAACCAAACACTGGCTCTAGATAGGGGCACATTTTGCAGCCATCATAGTTTCGTCTTCATGCTTGGGAGGGAGGGTGAAGCGAGCGAGTTGGGATCTGCGATTACACTGCTAGATATCACAAAATCCTACACTCTGGACCTTTAAGAGAGGCGGGGGGTACGTGATTGGCTGAAAGGTGAAAGGGCAGTGACTGCTAACAACACCACTGTCATGAAAAGTGACTAAAACAGATTTTTGAAAATTAGTATTTAGAAGTAAAAAAAAACTATGATTAAATAAATCAGATAAAACTGAAATTAAGAACTGAATTGTATTAATTGCTGAAAGTATTTCACCAGTTATTCAACCTTTAATATATTGTTCAGTATTTATTTAATATTGAACACTCTTGGGCTCGATACAAAACATCTCCATCATCAGTTTTTAAGCATTGTATGTTTTTTGACCCACAGACAACCTTAGTATATTTCCCACAGGTATCTCTGTGCTTCTGAGCAGGTCAGAACGTATGACACTGGGGGTCGTCTTAATGTGAACCCGAGATACCGAGGTGTGGCCGGATTTGACGGTCCCTCTCGTACAGAGCAGTGCGAGCAGCTGACGTAGGCTTGACGCTGAGGTGATGCAGGGCGTGACGCAGTCCAGACTCCAGAAGAACGACATCCCCCTGAGGTGCCTTCATATCCAATTCAACCCTGGTCCTGAGGAGAGTCATTCCTCAGAGTTGAGGAGGTGTCAGGAAGGAGGGAATGGGAAGGGGTAGATGTGCGGCAGCAACAGAGGGAGGGAAACAGAAAGAGACAGACATCGATTTTGTCTTGTATTTCACAGTCTTCAAAGACTTTTCAGGCGTATTGACTTCAGCTCACAGCCAAGAGATGTTTGTGCTGTGTCTCATCATGGAAAGAACCAGAAAACAACCCTGCAGAGACGATAATGAGGCTTTTCACCCAGAAAAATAACAAGATGCACAAAGTAAAAGCATGGAGAATAACTTTTTGTTATCGAATGTTGCAGATTTGAGAAAAACAATTAATGCTTTGACAAAATTCCTCTTCCTTTCACTTCACATAACATGCTCCTCTCTTCTTTTATCAGCTGGAACTCCCATTTCAGGGTGGGTGTGTATTGTCATGTGATGTTTGCAGTGTCAGTTTTTCTGTTGTCTCTTTCATGCCTGTGGTCGCACCATGAACAGACATATTCAGCTCTGCTAAAGATAAGGTGTTAAAACCCTCCTTATGTCTCGCAGGGACTGTTGTTTATTCCCCGTTGCTGCTGCTGGGCTGATTTGCTGCAAGCCAATAAATGACCTCATCTACTGTACATTAACCATCCTATCCACTTCATCTTTTCAGAAGTATTCTGCTGTGTAGTGTTTTACCCCTGATCATTGTGGGAACACCTCAGAAACACCTAAAATTACAATGGAACCTCTTTTGTATCAGAGGTAGGAGAGAACACCCACTTTAAAGCCAGTCCATTAGTCTCACCCACTCACACACATTCACATACACACTTACACACAACCACTTCAACAAACACCCAGAATGCTCCTACATATGCATGCACACATTTTTCTACACAAGCGACAATGACACTCAGGAGATGATGCCCACTTTTCTGCCGAGGCAGATCGAGGTGACACGCTGAGTCATACTTTGGTTAATTTTCTTCCAAGAGACAGGATTATAGTTTTTTGGTGAATCCCTTCAAAGAGGACGGGACAGATGAATTTGGATGTGTGTTGAGG